CAACAACATCAATCCACTGACGAAGAACAAATTAAAGTATACCAAGCAAGAAAAACTAGCCTGTTGGGGCACCGTGCCTGTCTCCAATGTCTTCTTGTTTGGATGTTTAGATTTATGGTTTCATGGAACAAGCCAGTTAATAAAACCAACTTTTTACTCCCTCCTAATTGGATATGTACTTGTCTATCAAAAGCAAAGTTTACCTCTGTTCACTTGGAGCACCAGAGGGAGAAGGAGGGTCAAGAATACGAGGAGGATATGTCACAGACAGTTACCTGCCTCCATGAACTTCTGCCTCCTTTGTCGTGAAACCTGAAGAACTGGATGATGCCTTCCTACCGTTACTGAACATTTTGATAAAAGATCTCATAGGAGGATTCTGATCCAAAAGGGGAGAATGTAGAAAAGATTTTTTAAATTCGCATAAACTCCAGACTTACTATAGCCATGAAGGTTGAACAAATTCCTGAAATGATTGCCCTGAGATCATGTTTAAGCCATAAACCAAAATATTCCCACAAGTATTCTTACAACCAAACAATAATTTAGCTTAGAAAGTAAAAAAAAAATGCCTTTGTGAGCATTCTCCTCTTTTAAGAACTATGTATATGGGATAAAAATCAATAATAACTTAAATTAGACAAGAATTATACAAGACAGGGGATGGGTGTTTATAAGGGAAGAACAATTCAGAAAAGGAGGGCGTGAATAATTACACAACTCAAGAATGTTATAAAAAAACAATCAATTGTATATGTAGAAACATTGAATTGGTATATGTTTGGTATATGATATATTATGACCACCACCAACAAAAAAATGTACATAAACATGTTTTGCACAGATATATAGTTAACAAAATTAGCTCAATACTGCCCATGTTTCTGATAAAATTTTTCACCATAAGACTCTCTTAGTGTATTAGATTTTAGGACAGAGCTGAAGAGAAGTTAATCGCTAACATAAATGTTCATCTGACTATCTGACTAGGTGTAACATCAGTATTTGCATTGCCCCTTATGTTACTGTAACTCAAACTTGGGTTTTGCTTTCTTAAATAGGCGATACTTTGGAGAGAAAATTGGGCTCTACTTTGCTTGGCTGGGATGGTACACTGGAATGTTGATTCCTGCTGCAGTTGTTGGCCTGTGTGTTTTCTTCTATGGATTAGTCACAATGAACAAAAGTCAAGTAAGGTAAGATGTTAGCAGATATATTTAAAAAAGGAACGTGTGACCTATTTTGTGGTTGTCAAAAGGTTAATGATGCTGCTAAATATCACAAACAAGTCCTAGTACTTCAGTTTATTTGCTGATTTTGTTTTGTTGTGGTAATTTCTTTGTTGGGAAAAGAAGAATTATATAAAAGGTTATTTTAATATTTCCATATGCACTGTCTTTTTCAATCTGTATGCTGAGTAAATAATCCAAGAATTTGAACTGTTTGGGGAAGCATGCTGCATCAGGATTGAAGGAAAAGTTATTAACAACCTTTCATACACAGATGACAATGTTGCTTACTGAAAGCCAGCAGTATTGAAGGACTTTCTGATGAATATCAATGATTACAGCCATCAGTGTGGATTACAACTCAAGATTAAGAAGACCAAATTCATCACAACTAGACCATTACGTGGCATCATGAAAAAGAGAGAAAACATTGACCTTACCAAACATTTCATAGTACCATAATCAATGCTCATGGAAGCAACTGTCAAGAAATCATACCTGTTGAATGGAATAAATGTGCTGTACAAAGATCTCTTTAAAGCGTTGAAGAACACATATTTTATTTTGAGAACTAAAGTACACCTGACCCAAGCCACAGCAGTCCTATCAAGTCACATGCCTCTGAAAGTTGAACACTGAATAAGGGAGCCCAAAGAGGAATCTATACATTTGAATTATGGTGCTGATGGAGAATATTGAATGTACAAGAGACTGCTCAAATAACATAAAATGCATCTTGGAAAAGATATAGCGAGAATGATCATTAGAAGCTAAGCCAATGACTATTGTCTCATGTACTTTAAACATGTTGCCAGGAGAGACTGGTCCCCAGAAAAAGGCATCATGCGTGGTAAAGTAGGAGATCAACATGAAGAGGACGACTCACAGGGAGCTGCATTCATAACAGTGGCAGCAGCGAAGAGCTGAATCCTGACCATTGTGAGGATGGCATAGGACCCGAAAATGTGTCATTTTATTGTACATAGTCGCTCTGATTGGACCCAACTTGTCAGTACCTAACAACAACAATATGGAAATATTATTGGATAAATTCCAAAGAAGTTTAGTCTTATGCCAATTTCTTTTTATGTTTATGATATATGAGAGAGTACCCCCCCCCAAAACAACCAGATATTTAAAAAATCTATGTATAAAACAGTTTTTTACAAAACAACCTTACCACTTTCAAAGCACTCTCCATTACACATAATACTTTTGTCAAAGCTGTGATTCCATTCTTGGAAATATTTTTCAAACTCATCTGTTTGGATGGCTGACAGCACCTCCCTCGTTTTTGTTCTTCACCTCTTCTATGTCATCCAGTCGCTGTCTTTCTTGTCCCTCTTCATTCGCAGAAACAAAAAGAAGTCTCATGGAGTGAAGTCAGGTGAGTAAGGTTGTGAGGCAAGTGAAGCATACTGTTTTTTACCCAAAACTGGCTCATTGAGATGGCTGGGTGATCAGGTGCATTTTCATGGTGGCAAAACCAGTCTCCTGTCTGCCACAAATCAGACCTTTTTCATCACAAACTTTTTTGTTCCACAATCTTTTCAGACCCTCTAAATAGAAAGCTTGATTAATAGTCTGACTTGGTAGAACAAATTCCAAATATACTATCCCTCTCATATCAGAAAAGCATTGTCTTGATCTTTGATTTTACTTGATCAGGTTTTTTTTTAGATGAGGTACCAATGGTGTCTTCCACTGGCTTGATTGATGTTTGCTTTGAGGGGGGTGGTCATAAGAATAACATCACCTCTCTGCGCTAGTAATGACCTTTGGAAAAATCTGGATCACTTCAGAGCTGTTCTTCAAAGCCCAGCATGTTTCCACTTGATCTTTATTCTGGTCAGACAGAACCTGAGGCACAATTTCTCAGTTCTCATTCCCAAATCTTCTGATAAAGTTTGCTGAACTGATCTCCCAGATAGTCCAGATAACTTTCCATCTCTCCAGTAGTCTGAGGTTAGTCTCGGTCACAAGTGTAGGCATTTTGCAACATTTTCGTCCATTTGGGAAGCTGATGGACATCCAGAACGAGGTTTGTCATCAATCAACATTTCACCAATTCACCTTTTTGGAAATGAGAAAACCACTCATACACTTGAGTTTTTCCCATAGTGCTGTGCTTGTAAGCAGTGTTCAAGGTCACAACAGTTTCTGTTGACATTTTTCCTGAGCAGGAAACAAAAATTCACAGCCACATCTATTCTCTTAAGTCAGACATCACAAAACACAAGGTTCCAGTGAAACTGCTTTTATGAATAAGATTCACTATGACCAGAGAGAACTTTCCCAGGTGACACCACTGGGTACACTAACTCAGAACCTAGAGGGAAAATGCATACTACAAAAGCTCCCTCCACCCAGAATATCTTTTATCTGTTTGTTTCGCAGGTTACTCCCATGATATATGTGTGTGTGTGTGTATAAATCATATATATGAATTTTGCCCCAAAATAAAACCCCTTAATTTTCTTAGCATTTAACACTGTTCTTAATCCAGTTCCATGAATTAGAATCTGAGTGTTGCTTTGTTCTTTGTGAAGACAAAATGATCATTAGCATAAGCAAGAAACCCCTGCTCTTCAAAAGCATGTCACCAACACATAGATTTATTTCGGTATTTGCAAACTTTCTTACTCCTGTGGCAAGCAATATGTTCCCCATGAAACTTCCAGCCACAAGCAACATGCACCTCTATTTGGGGATTTTATTCTGAAGGATGTTGAACCCATGATTTTCAGGGCTCTGGGATAGGTTATGATTTAGAGGTATAGTGTTTGGAATGAAGACCACTGTATTAAGAAATAGGGGCAGTATTTTGTACTATCATTTATTATTTGAGTTGGTTTCATGGTAAACATAATCATATAGGGCTGACAACTCCTTATGTTCCAACAAGCTGGAAATGAATAATAAAAAAAATGAATAAGATTAAATGCCTTTTTCTATTGATTTATATACCTGTGGAGTAATTAGCCTCTGTTTTATTAGACAAGTATTATTTAATCTTTAATTCAAAGAATGGTTTCAAAGGCTTCCACAATCCCTCCTCTCCCTGGTAGTGTTTTATGGTATCACACTATAATTACGATTCTGTCAGACTTTCTATTCTAAAACAAGATTAGCGGCACTGAATATCTTGACTTTCAAAATTTCATGGGCCTGAACATTTTCCATTCAAGGTGCCAGACATGATTGAGTTGTAAGTGTTATCATGGCCATTCAGGGAGGTTTATTTTGTGTTGGTTTGTTAGTATTATTTTAGTCAGCACTCTTTTGTTTATTTCTATATGGCTAAATGGTAAAAAGCCACTGATATATATGTTACTTATTGTGTTTTTACAGCTGTGTTCATTTAAATGTACATTACATTTTTAATTGCCTGGTAGTTACTTGAAGAAGTATATCATTATCAGGGTTTGTGCACATAGATATATATACATTTTTTATTCTGTACCTTGACAGGTCTGTAATATATATTTGTGAAGTGGTCTGACATCAACAAACATGTCCATGATGAATATGATTTAGAAGTCTTTTATGTGGCTTACTTCCCATGTCCCGGGGTCCAGATCTAGGGAAAAGGAAAAACCCAGTTTTCTGATGAGTTTTGTCTGCTTGGCATCTGAACCCATTCAGTAATTTATGTAGCTTGTAGTTATGCGTAGCATGGCCAAAGCTGCTGGGCCTTAAACCAAAATCTAAACTCACCGTGATCGACTCTTTTCAACTCATTGTTGTTAGAGTTGTTAGGTGCCATCAAGTCAGTTCCAACTCGTAGCAGTGTTTGCTCTACAACAGCGCAAAAGCTGCTTAGTCCTCCTCCACCCTCACAGTTGTCCTTGGGTTTGAGCCCATTGTTGCGGCCGCTGTGTCAGTCCCTCTTGTCAAAGGCCTTGCTCTTTTGTGCTGGCCCTCTGGTTTACCAAGAATGAAAGATGTCCTCCTTCAGGGACTGGTCTCTTCTGACAAAATTCCCAAAGTATGTGGGCCAACATCTCCCCATCTCCTTGCCTCTGTGGAAGGAGAATACTGGCCGTACTTCTTCCAAGACAGATTCGTTAGTCCTTTTGTCAGTCCATCGTTATTTCAATATCCTTTGCCAGCATCATAACTCAAATGCATTGATCCTTCTTTGGTCTTTTCGGTCTTCCTTATTCATTGTCCAACTTTCACATGTCTAAGAGGTAATTAAAATACTTTGACTTGGGGCAGGCATATCTCTCAACCCACAGTGGCCCGCAAGAAAATGTCCCGGGCTACAAATCTGTACGGCAACAAATAGCTTCAGTTTCCCCCCTCACAGTAGCTGACAGGTTTTAACTACCAACTTTGTGATGAGCAGTCCAATACTTGTGCCATAGTTCCACTGGCCCTGAGAACTTTCTCCTGACACTGCCCTCAGACACAGGAAGTTCTTTCATTTATTATGTGAACTTTCAAACATTTTAGCAATGCCACCCCTATTTAATAGCACAGATATTAAGCCCACACCTTGAGCTGCTAGCTGCAAGGTCAACAGTTCAAAGCCAAAGTTACCAGATGGGGCTTTCTACTTCCAAAGAGAGTTGAAGTCTCAGAAATTCACAGGGCCAGTTCTACCCTGACCTCTAATGTCACTAGGCTTCAGAAGTAATTAGATGTGAGTGAGTGAGTGAGTGAGTGATGAGTGAGTGAGTGAGTGACAAAGGAATCGTGATGGCTCAGTTGTTAAGCATTTAAGTGCTAAGTTCGAGGTCATTTTGAACCCACTCAGAGATTCTAGCCATATATTTTTATGGGGTAGTTTCACTCCGTCTTTTAGAGCCCCTCTGAGTTAATATGAACTTCACAGGGAGTGAGTTTGGTTTTTGGTTTAGTGATGAAAAATGCCATCTTAGAGAATGACTTGGACAGGAACATATATTTTAGTAAATGCTACAGCTACGTCCCCTACACCTATCTGATTGAAATCCCATGCTTCATCTGTGCTGCGACGGTGTTCCTCTTTAACCTACTCCTCTCTTTTTCCTGAAAGATGAACAGCACTGAGCAAGTTATCTCCTAATCTGTGCCTTGTCGTGTGAACAAGAGCATAGAAGACAGCAAGCAGCACCCAAGAATAGGTCCAGGCATCCACCTTCCAATCCATGAGTCTGCCCTGCCTCCCATTCTCCTGCCTGTGTGCGAATCCTTTGTTGGTTGATAAGAACATCTAGGATTGTATATGAAAGAAAAGACAGCACCATTCTAATGGAGGCTTAGGTCATCAACAAACTAAGAAACACTCAAAATGAGAACTCTCTTATCCTCTAGTGTTTACGTCAAAGAAATGTATTTGTGCTGGTATCAAGTCCTTTATTTCAGGATTAAATATATTTTCAAAAATTTACAACTATTGTATGCTACATAATGAGTTACATTCTTAGCAACTTACATAACAGAATTTGAATACTTCTGGTGGGCATCGTAGGACCCGGTCTGATGACCAGAATTCTAGACAGCCTGCTTCACAAATCTGGGTTTGACCATTTGGAAGGTGAGATAAACCAGGTAGTAGAAACCAGCTTCAGTCATTTTTTAGTATGAAACTTGATGTTAGGAGAAATTGTGTCATCTGTGAAACAATGGATTATTACAACAAACTTATTTTAATCAATGTTTTCTACAAGAAGTGTATTGGGTCTTTCTTCAAATGCTTAATGTTACAGTATTAAGGAGGTATGAAGTATAAATTCTATCTTAGGCTTTCAGAATGTTTATTTTGCCTGCTTGCTCTGAAGTTAAACTAAAATCCTGATTACTAGTAATATGATGTATGCAAAAAAGACTTACAGTACAAGTATACTATAAATAAATTAGGTCAAAATATTTAACATTAATGTTACTATTTCATAAGGAGTTCCCTTTTCAAGTAAAATTTTGGTTGTCTTTTGGATATGGTATAGTTGACAAAGAATTGAACTTAGAATCAGAAAAATGTATATTCCCTTTCTTATAAGACATGTCGTGGTTACGTGTGGGGTGGCTAACTACAGGGTTAGCAGTTTGAAACCACCAGTTGCCCCAAGAGAGCAAGATGGGGCTTTCTACCTCTGTAAAGAGTTACACTACGGGAAACGCACAGGGGCAAGTCTACCCTGTCCTGAAGGGTCTCTGTGAGTCAGCAACGGCTCAATGGCAGTGAATTTATTGTTGGTTTAGCAGTACTTCCTGCTATATATATATTTCAGCTGGAGTCACAATGTAAAGTTATGTTGCCTGGTTCCTGCTCCTACTATGGGTACATTAATTTTTGTGCAGACTGAAGTTAAGCACAAACCCCTATTTGCCAATTGTAAGATATTATATTATAACATATTATTTACTATTTTGCCTACTTTGGATTAGAATTACATACACATCGCTTTGAAACAAGCCCTGATGTTTCTGTTGGGTGTTTATTTGCTAAGTGCCAGGTTGGTGATTCAAACCCACCAGCAGCTCTGCTGGATAAAGACAAGGCTGTTTGTTCTTATAAAGATCTATAGCCTCATTTGAAAGATGCTCATTTTTCCAATTGAACTTTTTTCAATAGTACATTTCCAGGCATTTTTCCCCAATGCCTTTACATTTCTTTCAACACTTGCAAAGATGATTTATTGTAAAACTTTTATCCAGGGCCTGTACATTGGGAAAGCACTACATGTGACAGAAAACAAAACCTTTAAAAAATAAGTTGCTTGTGAAACCCCAGACACTGAGGCGTCTGAGAAATCATCATTGATGTCTTATGCCTATCACAAAATCATCAATAATTTGTGCTGATATTTTAAAGGCAATTGAGCGTAGACCTGAAGAAGCATATGTCATGAAATTATATTCTAAAAAGATACAATGTATGTTAATATATAAAATTTTGTCACATCACCAAAACTGTGAGCTTCAGGCTCTGCAAAAAAAATATCAACCCCCTCAGTATTTAATGACCATTATGCACCAATGGACTGCAGTGTGGTTCATGAAGCTACGTGAATTTTAGGTGCTGTTTGTTTTGATGATTCTGTCATGCATATGGGAGGGAGAAGGAAGGAGGACCACTAGACTGACACAACAGGATGATGAAGTTAGATTCCAGTTCAACCACTTACAAATCTGTAAACAATATTGGGTCTTGCCTCATACAGTTATCATGCATGCAGTGAAATCATGTGTCTGTTGAAAAGCACACACCCCTGCCCCCCCGGAAAAAAAAGTCTGGAAACATGCCGATTATTATTACAGTATCTTTCCAGTGCTGTTCTCCTAAAGTTAAAGAAGCAACCAAAAACGTCTGTCTCACAGATATCCCAAAACGTTTGAGTTAGGGTCACAATGTAGAGTTCTGTGTTTCCTGAACCTTACTGCTGCTAGTCTCAGGTCTTCCCGTTCGGCATTCTGCCTTGCTGCTTCCCACAGGATTGGCTCCGGGGCTGAGCCCTTTCCCACACTGAGAGGTTCATGTCTCGCTTTCTTCTTTGTTTCTCCAGTCAAGAAATCTGTGCGGCCAGTGAAGTCCTCATGTGTCCCCTCTGTGACAAGAACTGCTCCCTGCAGAGACTCAATGAGAGTTGTGTCTATGCCAAGGTGAGTGCCCACCCCCCTCCTTGTTGACTTTGACTCTTTCTGGGATGCACACAATGTGATCGCCTCCAGCAATTGGCTTATCATCAATACGAATGTCTCCGAAGTTTCAGAATCTTTAAGAACGTAGAACGATGAATACAAATGGTCCTTATTTACTCTTCATATTGGAAACCCAATTTTCTCCTTAAAGTTTCACCCCAATCCCAATAAAAAGGTTTTTTTAAATAATTATCTTCTGCAGTTATAAAAGGAACATTTCAGATATATGTTTTCATGGGAAAAATCAGTTGCATCACATGACAAAAATTGTATTTTAGGAAATGAGCATTTCCATCTATGAGTATTTTAGATTTGAAGTTTTAAAAGTATGAAGATGTAATCTTTGCCAATTAAGCAATTTAATACTATTTCCATACTCACTTAAAAGCACTGAGACCACGCTACATATTCCCATCATGCTAGAATTCCCTACTTCAAGTGAAATCACTAAGTAGGAGAGTCCTGAGTTGCTGTTTTGTTTGTTTTTAATATATAATTCTAACAGCTACCTAATTTCTAAATAATTAAGTTAGCTATCCCTTACAGTTATTTGTTTAGGTTTTGGTAACTTGTTCAGCAAAGCATCAGTCAATCCATAGTGCAAACCTCATTAGGCCAAAGATGATACTAGGATATTAATAAGTTTCTGAGATGATTCTGCTAAAGGGCTTCCTGGACCCCCATGTTAAAAAGAGATAGTCTTAAATCAGTAATGCTTTTGCGGTGGTGGCAGGGGATAGACTGAAGTCTACAGCTAAAATAGCTCCTATACAGGTGCATCAAATAAGGGTTTCTGCCTTGGCGAAGAGTTTAGAACTAAGAAAATCAGAGAGGATGGCATCACCGCCTGAACTCTCTACTCATCCTCTAAGGAATGTGTGAACCTGTAGGTTTGAGTTAGCTTGAAGCCGCTTAAGTTTTTAGTTCAGAGATCAACATCCGTGATAACTAGCAGTCTGCAGAATCTGATTGTTTCAGACCACCACCTGTCTGTTATTCTGCCATACTATTGTGGTTGTGTCATGCTGTGATACTAGAAGCTATGTCACTGTGGTTTTAAAAGCCAGCAGGGTCACCTAAAGTGAAAAAAGTTTTCGCAGAGCTTCCAGACGAAGAACAGACTATGGAGAAGGCATTGGCTGTCCCCTTCTGAGGAGAAGCTAGCCACTGAAACGTTCTGGATTGCTTCAAAGCATCATCAGTTACTGACAACCTCATGCACAGAAGAACGTTGTATTAAGGATGCTAGAAGATGAGCCCTCAAGTCAGAGTATGACTGGGGAGGAGCTGCTCTCTCTCAGCAGAGCCGGCCATCACTACGATGGGGAGGGACTAGAGACTGTGGAAGAAAGCCTTGCGGACTTTCATTTGCAGATGTAGCTGACTCAGAATGATCAGAAACAGATGCAAACATAAGTCAATAACTGGAACTTGGAATGTACAAAGTATGAATCCAGGAAAATTCGAAGTCATCAAGAATAGGGTAGAATACATGAAGATTTATATTCTACTCATTAATGAGCTGAAATGGACTGTACTGGCCATTTAGAATCAGAATATCATATAGTTTTTCATTCCAAGAAAGGATTCAAGAGTATTGGCATTACATTCAGGTTGAAAAGTACATATCAAGATATGCCTTTAAATACAATGCTGGGTGTGATAAGATAATATCTATCTGCATACAAAGAAATTCACTCAATAAAACTATTATTCAGATTTATACACCAACCACCAATGCTAGTGATGAAGAAATTGAAAAATTCTGTCACCTTCAATCGCGTATGGATTAAATGCAATCAAGATACCTTGATAATTATTGCTTATTGGAATGAAAAAGTTGGAAACAAAATGGAAGAAAAACATGGCATTGGTGATAGAAATGAAGCTGGAGATTGCATGAAACAATTTCGCAAGTCCAATGTCACTGCCAATATCTTTTCTCAAGAACACAAATGGTGACGATCTATGTGGATTGCCCCAGACAGAATTTATAGAAATCAAATTGACCATGTCTGTTGTAAGAGATAAGAGGGAAGTTCAATATCAGCAGCAAAACTGAGACCAGGGACTGACTTTGGACCACCATTAATTGCTAATATGTAAGTTCAGGTTGAAGTGGAAGGAGATTAAAACAAACTCACCGGAGCCAAAATATCGCCTTGATGCATTTCCTCAGAATCTGGAACATCTCAAGCACAGTTATGACCCAGTGAACACTAATGGCAAGAGAATTGATTGGATTGAGCTATGAGATGGCATAAAGAACATCATGCACGAGGAAGCAAAGGGTCATTTAAAGGACAGGGGGAAGGAAAGAAAATATCAAAGTAGATCGCAGAAGAGACTCTGAAATTTTTACTTGTAAAGTAGCTAAGGGAAAACGACGAGGTGAAAAAGTTCAACAGAAAATTTCAAAGGGCAGTTTGAGAAGACAAAGTCAATTATTATAATAAAATATATAAAAATGTAGAGCTGTAACCCTTAAAAGGAAGAACTCATTCAGCATATCTTAATCTGAAAGAACTATAGGGATAAAAAGTAATCCTTGAGTTGCAACAATGAAAGACTCTGGGGGGAAAAATAATGAGCAATGTAGGAGGCATCAAAAGAAGACCAAAAGGCTACATGGAGTCATTGTACCAAAAAGAACTGGTACATATCAGCCATTTCAAGAGATAGCAAATGAGCAAGGACCTAATCTACTGACAGAAGTCCAAGGCGCACTAAAAGCATTAGCCAAAACAAATTTCCTGGAATAGATGGAGCATCAAGGGAAATGTTTGAACTCACCGATGAAGCATTGGACTCGCTCCCTGGCCATGGCAAGATATTTACAAAACAGCTACTTGGCCAACTGTCGGGAAGAGATCCATGTGTGCATGCCTTTCAAAGAAAGGTGACTCAACAATGCTCAATTATAGAATAATACCACACGTCAATAAATTCTTTCTGAAGATCATCCAACAACAGTTGCAGCAGTTCATTGACAGGGAGGTGCGAGCTTCAGAAGAGGACATGGAGCAAGGCATATCATTGCTGATGTCAGATGGATCTTGGCTGAAAGCGAGACTCCCAGAAAGACTACTTGTGTTTAATAGCCTATACAGTGGTATTTAACTGTGTAGGTGCTAGCAACCCACACACAACCTTGGAAAGAATGGGAATCCCAAAACACTTCATTGTGCTTATGCAAAACCTTTATTGTGCTCATACAGATCGAGGGGCAGTTGTGTGAACAGAATGAGGAAATAGTGCATGGTTTAAAATCAAGAAAGGTTATGTCACGGTTGCACCCTCTTGCCTACTTATTCAAACTGTATACTGAGCAAATAATCAAAGACCCTGGCGAATAAGAAGAATGAGGCATCAGGATTGAAGGAAGGTTTAACAACCTGCAATATGCAGATGACACAGCCTTGCTTGCTGAAAGTGAGGAATTGAAGCACTTGCAGATGAAGATCAGGGATTGCATCCCTCAGTATGGATTACATCTTGATGTAAAGAAACCAAAAATCCTCAAAACAAACCAATAGGTAACATTAAGATAAGCAGAGAAAAGATTGAAAATGTCAAGGATTTAATCTTGCCTGGATCCACAATCAAAGCTCAGGGAAGCAACAGTCACGACTTCAAACGATGTATTGCATTGGGTAAGTCTGCTACACAAGACCAATTAAAAGTGTTGAAAAGTAAAGATGTTACTTTAAAGACAAAGGTGTGTCTAACCAAAACCATGGTGTTTTCAATCACATTATATGCATGTGACACTTGGACACTGAATAAGGAAGACTGAAGAAAAATTGATGCATTTGAAGTATAGCGTTAGCCAAGAATATTGAAAGCTCCACAGATTGCCCAATGGACAAGCAAAGCTGCCTTAGAATAAGTTCAGCCACCGTGTTCCTTAGCGGCACGGGTAGGGAGACATTGTCTCACATAGTTTGGATATGTTGTCAGGAGAGACTAGTCCCTAGGGAAGGACATCATGGTTGGTAAGTGTGGGGTGGGGGGTGGCAGCAAAAAGAGGAAGGTGCTCCACAGATGGATTGACACAGTAGCTACAACAAAAGGCTCAAAGATAATAACAATTGTGTTGATGGGCAGGACTTCGTGATGTGTCTTTCCGTTGTGCATTGGGTCACTGTGAATCAGAACTGAATCATTGGCACCTAAAACAACATTTTTTTTCAGAACCTACTAGCTGCTCCAAAGGAGAAAGATAAGGGTATCTGCTCCTATTTAAAAAAAAAGTCTTGGCATTGGACCTCGACTCACGTCCTCCCTCAACGCAAGAACACTTTGTTCTAATAACCTGGCATTCTGTGATGCTTGCCTTCCCCACACAATCGCTGAGGGCAAATGGGTGTATTAGTAAATGTGGTGAAGAAAGCTGATGGTCCCCAGCTATCAAAAAATATAGCTTCTGGGGTCTTAGAGGCTTGTAGATAAACAAGCAGCCATCTAGAAGAGAAGCAACAAGCCCACACGGAAGAAGCACACCCGCCTGTGCGATCATGAGGTGTTGACAGGATCAGGTATCAAGGCATCAGAAGACCCAGAACAAACAATCGTATCAATGTGAACGAGGTGGGAGAGGAGTGGAGACCCAAAATCTATCTGGAGACAATTGGACATCCCCTCGCAGAAGGGTCACAAGGAAGGGACAAGCCAGTCGGGGTACAGTATAGCTGACAGAACATACAATATTCCTCTAGTTCTTTAATGCTCCTCCCCACCACTATCATGGCCCCAGTTCTACCTTACAAATCAGGCTAGACCAGAGCATGTACACTGGTACAGCTAAGAGCTCTTGACACATGGTCCAGGACAGATAAAACCCTCATAGCAACACCATGAAGGTAGGGGGAAGGTGGGGGGAGAAAAGGGGAACCAATCACAATGATCAACATAGAACCACCCCTCCCAGGGGACAAACAACAGAAACGTGGGTGTAGGGAGACAGCAGTCAGTGTAATATATGAAAATAATAATTATAAATTATCAAGGGTTCATGATGGAGGGAGAAGAGGGAAGAAAAAACTGAGGAGCTGCTACCAAGGGCTCAAGTAGAAAGAAAAAGTTTTTAAAGGATGATGGTAACATATTTACGAATGTGCTTGACACAATGGATGTACGGATTGTTTTAGGAGCTGTAAGAGCCCCCAGTAAAATGATTGGGGAAAAATGTCTTGGAATCCTAGGAAGCACTTCTCCTCTGTCCTACAGGGACACTGAGTCAGCAGAGAATTGAGGGCAGTCGATGGATCCAGCAATTTTGAAAAGCTGCCGTGGAGGAGACATAGACTCAATATTTCCTAACTAAAAAGAAATTATAGTTATATATATTTTTAAATACCCACATTTACACTTATAGAACTCTACAAAAGTGTTGTTCAAGAGAAATTAGATGTCAAAATAATGGAGAATTTAGGCTTGAGCAGAGCTTTATCTGAAGTAGTAGTCATGCCCATCTTCATTTATTACCCTAAGTCACATCAGCTATGAAGAAGAAAATGCATTTCTAGATGTCTCCCTGTTAATAAAAACAAGCTATCTTTTTGCCAATATAAAAATTCATTGCAAGTATTTGCCTTTTAGATAGGACAAGCTTCTATTTACTTTTTAGAAAAGCCTGGCACACTGCTTGGGAAAGAAATATTCTGGCTTTCACAACTTGAGCAATTTTCTTTTTTCAATAAAGCAGGTCTTTTGTCTTATGAGCAGAAGGCTGTGTAGTCTCATGTCAAACACCTGTAATTTAATTCTGGGGCACTGGAGACATGCATGGAACTTCTTTCTATCTATTTCATTTCTAGTGTACTTTCATATTAGAATGCTAGTATTCCTATGGCTAGAACCCCAAATGAATTCCTTAGCACTTCATGGTACAAACACCAGCATTGTTTTGTAAAAAATAGTTGATGTCCAGTCAATTCCAACTCCTAGGGATCCTAGGGATGTCAGAATACAACCTCATGGAGTTTTCAATGGCTCAGTTCTTTGAAGCAGTCTCTGGGCATTTCTTCAACACCCCTGAGTGGGCTCGAACCTCCAAAGTTTCTGTTAACAGGTGAAGGCGTTAAGTTATTTTCATTACCCCAGGACTACAGAACAGCAGACTAATTACTATCTCTATTCCCATGGACTCCATTAGCAAAATACTTTCCCTATGGGATGACCAGTACATCTCAAGTAATACTTTTCTATGATTAGACTGTTCCTTAGAAAAACTTCCGAAGTCCTGAATTCCTACGCTGGCTTTATCTCTTAGGCCATGTATGTCATCCCTTTCCCAGGACGCTAGCATGCTTCTCTCACTCTCAGCTATGGATATAGTTCTAAAAAGTTACCATTCCAGTTGTAGTAAGTAGATGTCATCATTTGACAACCCTGCTCAAGAGGTCAAGGGAAAAAGTTTAAACTTTATGAAAGAAAGTTGGAATATTTGTTGAGATACAGGGGGATCGCTTTGAAAAAGAAACTATGACAGATTGTGTCTACACCACCCCATTTGTAAAGAGTGGCCTTTTATTTGCCACTTTTCGAAAAGCGTGGTTCTTTTTGAAGCAGGGGAGAGCCAGACTTCCTTTGTGGCCCTTTAGGCTCCCCTGTGTTCGGTCTCTGCTTTCACACTGTAAGAGGCTCTTTCTGGTCTCTGCCTGTTTATAAAGGGAAAGAGACCGCTGTTCAGTTTCCTGGCAGCCACAGGTGTCTCTGTAGGACACCTTTAGGAGGAAAAACAAAACAAAACAAAAGAAAACTGAATTCCTGCTTGGGATAATTTTATGAGCTCTGTAAGAATTCACTTTTATCATTTAACACCTGCACATAATGTGTACTGATGTTTGTTCTGAGAACCAATTCCTACATTATTAGAAATCCCAGTCTGTAAAGTCATAGAATTTTAGAGCCATGTAAGACATCTTGCTTCTAGCTACAAGCTTCTAAAATGAGCACATCTTTTGAATGTTGATGTTACCTTACTGGGAAATCTATCTCATGGTTACTGTTTTACATATTGCTTTATAGTATGTTCAGAGGCTACAATTAAAATGGAGACACGGGCTTTGTAATGGCTTCATGAAGCGACCTCAGCACTTTAGACTGAGCAAAGAAGACCTCCTTTAGTCCCACTCTCCTTCTGATGTTCGCTGGCTGTAATTATTCCACTCTCGCTCTCGCTCTCTCAAGTGGAATCTGTAGTTTCCGCTTTGTTTCTGTGGTATTATATGATTGCCAACATATTAATTGATTTGACTACATTGGTTTAATCTTCATGAATAACTTATATACTGGTATTATGAAAAGGAAAAGGAAACAGAGTGAATTTAACCAGCACTTTTTAAAGATAAAATAAACCTTGCAACTATGAGCATCTTGTTAACATTGCATAACTGTACATTATTCTTTCTCAAAGTTCAGGTAATGTCTAATTCAGGCGCAGGGGGTTTAGATCCCAAATGTTTGTTGATTTATGAACCCTAAACTGACTTACCCTGGGACGCATTCCCTTTTGTAGCCACTGCTGGACCCACGGATCACCTGAAAGCCACGTCAGAATGGAATATCATTTTGATACCATGTCCCTCAAAGTGGTCACTGGCTGCATTTTCAAATATTCCCCACTCTGGGGAACCTTATTTATAGAAAGTGCACACAGGAATGATTCACTTGCGAAGCTCATGTCAAATAGCCTCACGTTATAGTTTGACTCTCTGTGGCCTAGAAATATTTCCCAGCGGGGCTGAACTTGTTAGCAAGAACGGAGGTGAGGTACAATTAGAACCAGAAGGAAGGGATAAGGAAGGAGAAGGAATGCAGTTCACTCACATTGCCTAATAAGAAAAGGACACAAATGGCTTCAGATTTCATTAAAGAATATCATCTCTTATATTTACAAATGATCAAATAACATATTTCCATTGGGGGGAATCATAGTGCCTAAGTGCTAACAGTTCATATTGGATGATTCCAGTGTTGTTGGAACTAACCTTTCTGTTTCCCATTAAGGTGACCTATTTGTTTGATAATGGAGGAACAGTCTTCTTTGCTATTTTTATGGCAATCTGGGGTAAGTGTCTTATTATTTACTTGCTAGTTCTCATTTGCTGAGGTTATTATGTATGTCATTATCTCTGTCACGTACATTCTCTCTCACACACACATCATGTATTATTTTAGCAATCAAATCCCTTGCTTGGTACTTACCCTTTATACACATGTGTCATTTCTATGAGAGTGTATCTCTTGATTGAGTCTTCTAGTCTCTAAAGCCCTAGACATTACTATAAACTAGAGAGCATGCTTTTCGTGCTAAAAGCAAATAGTCATTAAAGACAAACAGAAACATACTAGAATCCAAATTAACCTTATTGCATTAATCCTGGTCACAGGGTTGTTGAGAAATTTTGGTCCCCAGTTTTAAGTTTGTTTCTTTGCTTACGTCTCATTTTAATTTTTTGAACCTCCAGACTTCATACTTTCAGATGCCCAGAATATACTCCATATATGATTAAACAATGTCTAATATGAAATAAATCCTGAATCTAACAAGTTATGTGCAAGGGTAGGCAATGCCTCACTTTTGTCACCATGTTTCTCAGTTGCTTTTTTTTTAAGGCATCAAGTTGAAACTTAAAATGTATACAGCCAGATTAGAATTTGATACCATTTGAACTCTTTAGAGAAACTATTACCTTACCAGTTAGTGGCTTCTCTACCATGGGTCAGTTACCTATAAAATCGTTGGCAACCTGATAGCCCCAAGAAGCTGACCATATGTATGGAATCACGCAGAAAAATGAAAAACAAATCCTGGAATATTGGTTTCTCCCTTCCTGTTTCCTATTCCACCAATAACAAGAACTTTGTTCCATCCTCTGTAACAGTGTAAACCAAAAATAACATAATCCTTCTAATACCTAGTCAAAAGTATGCCTGCCCAAAGAATGGCAATCATGAAGAATCAAACGTTGGTTTCTGTTTGAAACAAACAAACAAAAAGTCCCTACATGTCGTTCAAGGCTTTCTTTTAACAAGGCTCTCGTGGTAGAATCTTACGGTGTTACCCGATTCCATGAACATCACTTCTTAATAAATTACAGATCAGTCCTCATGAGTGTTAGTTAATGTGTGTTGTAGCCTAGCCAAAAAACGTAAGAAAAGAAACCCATTGGTGAGTCTCTCTTTCTGTGTGCTTCTGTGTTAGACTCCTGCTTTGGCTCTTCTGCATAATCCACGTAACAGTGATCCTGCATCATCTTTCGGTGGGTGGATTAGGAGAGGGCCAAATGTCGGGGAACACTGGATATCTGAAGGCTTTTCCCCCTTAGTTTTATACTGAGATCCGAAGTGGAGGTATGTCGTCCATAGGAATGCCCTCCTGTGCACGCTCTCGGCCCATAGTCATAGATGAATCAAGCACACTGGGATTATAGTAGCTAGAATTCCCAAAACTCACATCACAAGGTTCAGGTGCATTGTCTAATCGAAGAACTAGAAAAAAACAAACAAAAACAAAATAGTTTATAGCAAGAATCTAAAGACACAGGCTTGGACATGTTATTCAATCTAGGAATTGTACTAGATGAATAAATAGAGATTATTTTAGATACTATTTTGAAATTTTAAATAAGGATATTTTCAAGTCACATTTCTCTGAGACAAAGGGAACAGTTTTACTTACAAAATTTCACTATAGTTGGTCAAACATGAATTAGAAAGTACCACAAAAGAATGTCATCACTATGTTTACAAAAGTATTGATATGTGCATCGTTGACTTTGGAATCTTGACAATTTCAGAATCTTGTCAGTGTTCATAATGTTTAATTTAAAGCATAAAAATATTTTAAAGTGAATTCAAAATTGATGTTATTATTATGCAAGTATCTTGGCAACTCTGTGATTGTGCTGTTTAAAATAGAGATGAAAAAAAGAGCTATTCATTAAAGCTTGTTTCCTTCTGGTAAACGCCACGTGTCATTTACTTGAGGTTTTCTTATTGCTGATACAGGGCACATTTTTTTTCCCTTTCAACTAGTAGTCCTATATATTGTTCATGAATTGATTTTCAAAGGAAAACAAACATGCACAATCCAGATCTACATGTAGTGACCTGCTTATCAATTTAGTCACTTAATTAAGTATCTTCATCTGCGTAGGGATTTGACAGAAGTGTCTAAAAACTGGGGTTCCCTGGGTAGTGAGCACGATGGTCAGCATGAAGGGCTGTTCATCTGAAGGTTCAAGTCCACCCGGAGACGCCGTAGAAGCAAGGTGGACTAGAGTTCTGAGAGACCAGACATGAGAAACCATGTACGGTACATTGGCTGCCCTGACCCCTACTTGACTTGATGCAAACCAGATGAGGTGTTCTCGTTGTTGTTCTGATGTTGCTTTTGAGGGGGAAGTACAAATATATTTTAGTTAGTCTCTTATAACTAAATGACAACCCCACTATATTGTATCAATTTGATAAGATTAGCTTGTAAAGATACAGGAAAAGACAAGATTTGGAAATTTACTACTGGAAGCCAATAAGCCAACTTTAGTTTAATTTATAATTAATGTACTTGGTTCTGAAAATTAGTAATTTTTCATTCATGACCTGAGCTTATAGAAAAATCAGTAGGACTTCTCAGCCAGACCCCCGCAGAGAGCATTCAGCTCTTTGTTCTGGTGGCCAAAGTCTGGTGCGAGGACGAAACACATTTGTGTTTGTCTGAAGAATTCAGAAAAGAAAGAAATGATCACTTAAACATTTGAAGTTATTTAATGTATGTTCTAATTCGTGTTTCATTACTAAATATCAAAATGCACTGTTTTCATTTAGCAGATACATTTCTCATTCATAGATAGCATGTTTGGCTTCCCCCAGCATATGAATGGAAATTCTTGAATTGAAATATATTGAACTTTATGTACACAAATATGCAACCCTTTAAACATTTTTAAACAAATCATTAAGATGGTGACTAAGGGGTGATTATTGGTTTGTAAACTTTAGAAGAGTGTCAAAAGAGAATAAATTGATACTCAAATCACATCTATTAATATATCTAACAACAGCAACTAATGACTTTTCAATTAACTATTAATCAGACCAGATTTTTTTCTTTATATCATACCAGTATCTTCTAATTTTATTAATGTATTTTAAATGTGGGGATCACTACTCGAAACAAATTTTGATGTAATGAGCAAGAGTTCCAAGTTATGTTTAAATTGCACTTACAGGTTTTATAATTATTGTGGTTTCATTCTCTGAGAGACAAAGCAGTTAAGATGAAAGCTTTCAGATTTTTTTGTTTGTTTGGAGTTTTTAAAAATAAATTTCTTCTAAGCAATATAATAGGCATAAGCACATTCACTTAATTAAAACCACTGTGTTCACATGGAATAGTGAAATCTTTTTTTTTTTACCTGGTTCATTTCTGTCATCGTAAAGCCGCTGATGGGAAAACGAATCAGTTTTCCTTCTGCCACACAACAAATAGCCAACAAGACTAAGCAACGAAGCACCCAGAATAGCTCCTAAAATGGCCCCAAACACTACTCCTGTATTTCTATTCTCTACAAAACAAACACACAAAGAAGGGAAAGTAAATTAATTTACAGCTAAGAAATAAAAGATAATTCTTCAAATAAAAACAGTACAAATGGACTTCCTCTATACATGTTTCTAAAACTAAATCATGGTGATTTTGTATGTGTTGTAAAATACATACATCCTGATAAAATCATACTTATAATTTTAATTACCTTAAATACTTACAAATCAATATTTTATAGCTGCCTCGTCAACATTAGTCTTATCGAGATTCCTTGTATCTACACCACTTGTACTTGATATGAAAGTTAAAATTTAATTCTTTAATTTTTTTCTCACTTCTGAATTTCTGATGAACTTAAATGAGGAAATGAAATTTGAGTTTATTTCCCTAAAAATTTAAAAGGAATGAGTAATAGAAAATTAATTTATAAAATGTCAAGTGAAAAAGAACTATAAAAGGAAAAAATAAATACATCTTATTTAGGATATCATGATATGAGATATTTCCAAATACAATACATGGATCAAAGTAACATATTTGCCCCACAGGGAATCTTTGGAACAAATGTATAGGTCTGAGTTAATTTCACTCTGCCACCTCCTTTAGTAAATACCTTATTTGGGGGCTAAGTCATCAGTAGATTATATTTCAAATCAGTGTCTTTAGGAGACTCTGAACTTGTAAGGAAGGTCTGACCTTTAGTGTTATAGTGTGTCATTTCTATATGTAATTTTCACAGTATTATTGTTTTATTCTGATGAATCATAATGCTATAGTAATTTTGGAGAAACCGTGAGATGTCCTAAAATTGTTATCTCTAGCAATATAAAATAATGTCTTTTTTCAAATTTTTATGATTCTAATGTACAAGGTTTTGGTGTATTTAATGTTCTGTGTTTTTTCCCTTCCATTTCTAGAGAAGCTTATGGCTTAGGAAGGCAAGGGATCATTTAGGTTCCCTGATTCTACGTAACTGCCCAATTCTGTAACGGGCAGCCTTCACATTGGAGCGCAATAAAATTGCTGTTACCATTTTTTCAATAAACCTAGTAGAAGAGAATCATGTTAGGAGTAAGCACTTAGAATTCTCAATATGTAGGCAGTTCTCTATATGTAGAGAGTTAGGGATGTCTGCCTTAACAAAAACTTGCACTTGCACTTAAACTTGTAAATGTGTCCCCTTTGAAATGCTTAAGGAGCCCTAGTGGTTTAGCTGGGTCCTGTTCAGCTGCTCACTGCAGGTCCTGGTTGCACTCTACCAGCAGCTCTGTGGAAGATAAAGGCAATCTTTATTTGGCAATCTTCTGCTTAAGATTGACAGCCTCAGAAACCCAAAAGGACAATTCTCCTCTGTCTTCTAGGGCGGTTCTGAGGCACAATCAACTCAATCGCAGTGTTTGGTTTTAGTTGGTGAAAGTAACAATTGAACCAGTCCCTACTTGTGACAAATACTTAATCACTATCACCCTCACATGAAGCTTTTAAATCAGTGAAAAGGCTTAGAGCCATTTCTCATACTGAAGGGAACCTAAATAAGACTGTGCCACTGTTCCGACTTACCTACAAATTCAACTTAAAGATAAACTCAGTGGTGGATCTCATTAGTTTATACCTTGGGGCTGCCTGTATTCACTTTAGAGAGACAAATGAAGGAATTAAAAATATATATATTGATAACGGAATATGAGAATATATATAAATTAAAATGTATGTTAAAATTATACATACAAAATAATTTGGTTGTGGTACTAAAACAAAGAGTAGAGTTTAGAATTTAAAATTTCTCCTACCCACTGGCAACAACATTATATGTTCATTTCTACATATGAATTGATTTTTACATTGTTAAATATAATCTGCAAGTAAACACCACTGGAAGCTAGTGAGTTTTAGGAGGAGGGTATGAGTGTTGATTATTGTTATTAATTGGGAAACAATTATGGTTAGATTTCAAAATGAAAGAAAGTATGGTCAATGAAACATTAAATCTTAAAGAGATTTTCCATTTTCTGGCTTAAATTAAATGAAACAAATCTATATAATGCAATTTTCTTGTGATAATCAAAGCTAAAATGATGTTCATTAGCAAATGAACTAAAAATTAAATAGCTTTTCCTTTCATTGAATTTGTTTTAAAGATTCTTATATCAGGTTCTACTATTGTCCTGTGCTATCCAGTGTTAGGTAATATATAAATTCATTCATATGGTTCCATTTTTAAGACTACACACTGAGACACATAAGAGTTTGTATTATAGTCTTCCAAATAGCATGTACTATTTTAAAAATCAGTGAAAATTCTTATCCATTATTTCAAAACTGGCCTGCTTTAGTTTCTATCCCTTTGCGACCTAAATTACTCATTTTATTCCACGTCTCTTAGCATACAGCCATTGACTATTAACTGGCATGTAGTAATGTAAGTATGACAACCACTTTCATATGTCTAGGGAATATCATAATTGGTCTGCAAAAGTAAGCACTGTCTATGCTATTTATTATATTGTCTTCTTTCCCCTTAAGTGTGTTGCAGTTCTTAGATTTAATCTATAGAATCTTCTTAAAAATTTAGTTTTACATACAATCAAAATGAAATCCATTTATATTTACCTTCTTGGGGGTCTGCCGTATTTGAAAGGATTTTTGAAGTATTCATAAACTTTACTGTGGGTTGTGCAGTGGTCTTTTCTGGATAGGGTGTAAAGCCAGCAAAACTATCATTGGTTGTGGGAAGCCAGGTGGTTGGTTCCACTATCAAGGGAGTCACAGACCTGGTAGTTGGTACTGGAGGCTGGATACTAACAGTCATGGAACTGTTGTCTGTGTGATTCCTGGTCAAAGTAGTCATCGGCGACGTGAACATCTCTGAAGGTACAGAAGGTGATGTCGCATTGGCAGGTACTGAGACTGGCAAAGAATGCTCATCTCTGTCAGATGAGTTCAAAGGCAGTTTAGAAACAAAGCTATGGATCAAGGGAGGACTTGTAGAGAGTGTAGATGCCGCTGTTATAATCCTGGAAGAGTTGTCTGTTGACCAGTCGCTGGAGAAAGTCTCCTTGGCATGTTTTTCATTTAATGGATCTAACACAGAGGGATTACTTGTGCTGGACTTGACGGTTCCTTTATTTTCTTCGACGAGTTTTCCTCCAGTTTCCAAAGGAATAGATTCATGTCCAACTGTTTTTGAGACTTCTGTATTGCTGTTTGTTATACTTAATTCTGAATATTCCTTCCCATAGGTTCCAAATAGTAGTAAACTAAACAAACTTGATACCAACAGAACTTTTGCTAAGGTCCACATTGTACCGACTTTGGAGACTTGGTTAAAAAGTAGCTGGAAGAAAATAACAGCAGTTTGAATTTTTAAATGAAGCATTTTGAATTTTTAAAACAGATTTATGTTTTGTGAGTTAATAAATCCAAAAAATCTAATGTTAGATGATAATACCGATTTTTTTCCTCCAGATTTTTGTTTTCTTTGAATTATTTATTAAAACTAGACTTCCTAAATTTTAATGTCTATGTAATATTCCTTCCTTGCTTCTAGGAAAATACCATAATACTAGACAAAAACTTGTCTAGGCCAGACTCAATGTTCATTTGGTTTTGGACAAGTTATGTGTGTGTGTATACATTCACACATCTGTTTTACAAATTTTGTGGAACAATTTCATAATCTATCAATTCCATTTTCTTATAAATTTCTTAAAATTCCCAGTATATATGAATCTGAGAAGTAACTTTTAATGTAAATATTGGACATATAGGGCAGACCCATTTCTTCAATCTAAGGAGACAAATTCTTCATAAAGATATTTGGCATATATCTTATATAAGTAGCATTACTGTTTATACTCTAATTATATCAGGTCCTTACAATAAAAGACCCATAAACTTCACTTGAAAACACTTTTTAGCATCAATATTTTGATGTTATTTGAATTTGAAATTGACATCCCTCTTTCATATTTTTCATTTTTATGATGCCCCTTTTCCTGTTTAATTTCAAACTAAGAAGAATTAAACTTTAGGAATTATTTAATACAACTCTTTTATATTACAAATGAAGAATGTAATTGATGATGCCAACATGGATGTTGAAAAGTGGATGTTGAAAAACAATTCTTAGGTAGATAGTGGCAGCACTTGGGTTTCAAATTTCAGGAATTTAAGTGCACCATTTTGTCTCTTAAGCGAAGAAAGTAGCACCTATTATAAAAAGAATGGTACAGAAAGGGGTTTGGGAATTAAGTTTATATAAAAATCTGGCCTTACAGATAACCTGTAAAATAATCACACTAATAAGTATACTGAATTTACAGTGGTGTTTTGATGATTAAGTAATATGATGTATCTGTCTGAAAGTAAGGACTTAGGGACTCTAACCACTCATTTTAGTTTAAAGAATTCACAAATATTCCATTTGATCCTATCAAAGATCCTGAGGGCAATGAGGCCTTACCCTCATTTTGAGATAAACTGAGTCTCAGAGTGGCCAGGTGGCTTGCTCAGGGTTCTACATGAACAATAAGACAGTAAAAGAGATGAAAATAGTTTTATCTGGAAATATTTCAATCCAGTATTGTCTACCATTTCTCATGAGCGCTCCCTAAAGGACCACACCTCTTCTCAGCCTGCTTTCTCCTGATTTGTCAGTTGGTACAGTTGGTGAGCTTCCCCTCGCTGTAATCACCATTCGATTGTAGGTGTCTTCGCTTCTCTTGCTTGAGGAGCAGCCTTCGATGTGCATAAGTCACCCTGATGCACTCATGCTGTAAATCTTGTAGCAGACACTCCATCCCTGAGAATCCCTAAGGTTTTTGAGGTCTCGCCCATTGCTAAATTAATGGTTTTCATGAATTTTGCTTATCACTCTAGAAACTTCTACTTTAAGAAAAGGGAGATGGACTTACAAGCACATTATCTTGTAAAACATTATTTTGAGAGTTTTCAAGCTAAATGTCAAGCAGCAGCAGATTTTATAAAACATTGTAGAATATTTCTACACTGAAAATTAACAGATTAGACCTACAAGCGACAACACAGATTAATCTCTATAAAACAGAACTTAAAAAGCGACTCGTTGTATGTGAGTCTGTATGTATACAGTGCAAAAACAGGCAAATAACAGCATGAATGGCCTCCACTAAGAACGTCCTTGGACATGAGACCAGAAGAACCTAGGTGGTGCTCCTTCCTACTACTGTTACTGAACGAGGAACCCTGGTTCAAATGAGCAAAATGCAGCAGAGAATGTCCAATTATCAGGGAGTAGAGACTTCCAGAGCCATGGAGGTAGGGTGAATCTATGAGATTATTGCCCGACAATAAACCTTACAACAAAATCAGGCCTTAAGCCAAAACCATGGCCTGAAATGTTCTTGAAGCCAACCAATAGTTGAGATTACCAAGTAAATAATGTGTACCTTGAGCATTATGCTCTTTAAAAACGATTTAAATAAGATCAAGTTGGCCACGGCAAATGGAAAGATTACACAGGCAGCTCAGAGGCAGCAGATTGATGTTCATGGGGAGGAACAATTCAGAAAGGAAAGGAGAATGAATGCACAACTTGAAAACTATGATCAATGTCACGGAATTGCACATACGAAAGCAGTTCAATTGGTGGATATTGTATGTGTATATGCTCAAAAGCCAAATAATAAAAAATAATAATAATATTTGAAGGGAGTAAAATTGTTACTACAGGAAGGAAGGTGACCATATTGATTGGGAAAGGAACAGGAAGAAACTTCAGCATTATATTTTCCTTAACCTAGTCATGTTTACCTGGCTTTTTGTTTTAGCGATAATTCTGTTTATTTGTATAGCATGCATCTTTCCGTAATAACCAATAAAATTGGTGATGCTTACCTAAAAACATGCAAAGTAAATACTGAGGAAAAGTTGATCAACCTCATTTTACAAATAATGGGAAGATGCAAAAAGCATAAAAATGACATATCTAAGGTCACACTGTCAGTAACTGAGAGAGAGTGATAGGATTCCATCCTAGACATGTCTAATTTAAAGCTAATCTTTACTTACCTGTGCAATGGAAGTTGCAATGAAAGAAAGAATTTGGTATTTAGCTGCTTTAGAACTTTCCCCACCTTCATTTTCCTAGCATAACCTCTCCTAATTTTATGAATTTAACAAAGAAAGCTTGAAAATTCCAATTTTTTTAAAAGATTGCAAAATGGAATGTTTTGAACTTCATCAAGTACCTCTTCATAATTTTAAGGAAACCCTAGCAAGTGTATCTTTAGTTTCTAAATAGTCACTTTCACCAAATAGTTTACAGAACAGCAGAATGTGCAGAATCACCTCCAGGACCTCTAGTTCATTACCTTTAAATTAATAATCCCTCACCTAGAACATTTAAAATACAAAATTCAGTTTGACTGAAAAATATTTATAGGCAAATTTGCAGAAATATCAGATTCATAGCAAACACCATAGGCTTTCATCCAACTGAGCAAAGCCCGAGTGGTGTTATACGGTAAGTACTGGACTGCTAACCATAAAGTCAGCAGTTCAAACCCACCGGTGGCTCCTTTGGAGAAAGATGATATTATTTGCTCCCATAGAGAGTCAGAGCCTTGGAAAAATCCAAGGTAGATTTGCTACGAGTTGGAATTGACTCGCTGGCCATAAGTGTAGGTAGGCGGTTCAATTAATTTATGAATTATGCCTGCCCCCATTCTATCTCCTTATGAGGTTTGAATTGTTCTTTCTAAAACTAGCTATTCTGTGCTTCAATTCCTAACAAAGTGGTCACCCGAGAGGTAAAACAGAGCTGCAACTGTGCTAGTTTTCTCATACTCTGACACGAGGAAAGATAATGGCAATGAGATTGTATTCTGTCTCCATATGAGGACTATGCATTTCCTGAAATTAACAAAGTGAGTGTTGTGGCTCCCGTTCACCTCGCCTGTAACTTTGGACTGCCCAGGGGATTTTGTCCCTTAATTCAGCTTTTCATTGCACTTTGAAAAGCTAAGGCACCTATATCTCACATGAGTCAATCTATCTGTAATTGCAATTTATTTCCTAGGCAAAGGAAGAGAGGGAGAAGGTTTTATGTTGTGACTACTGTTTATCATCTACTCAGAAAACAATCCATGAGTGGCCGAAGGCTTTTGTGAATAAGGATGCATTCTTCTTATTCGTAAACATAGCTGTTGGGTATAGCTTATGCTTCCTGGCGTCAAAGAAAACCAGGGTACACCTCTTACTTGGATCTTTCATATTCAAGGAGTAAAAGTAGCCAGAAATTGAAACCATAAGTTATTCTGAACCCCAGCCTGAACATTTTGCCAAAGCAAGGATCAGGCCATTGCTGTTAAGTACAGGCTCCTCCTGAACTGAACAGAGCACATTGTACAACAGAGGAGTGGAATAGGGGTTCGCTAGGTGCCCTAGACTCCAGGCAGGGCTGACACTTTTTCCACTGGGGACCCATTTTCTCCTGAGCAATTTGCCACATAGGCAAGTGCTGCCAGAAACACCTGGGATTCAGTACACGTTTGATTTTGCATTAAGTTTTGATCACCTGTTCAAAAGCATTTTATGGTTGTCAGATTTCTCATGGCCCCCACATTCAGTTATGGACCCCACAATCAGTGGCAGTCCATAGTTTAAGAAGCAGGGCCGAGAGGACCGACATTAAATCTGCGTTCTGTCTCTCTGCCTGTTCTCCCAGGCACTCTCTCCAGAGTACAGGTGTGTATCTAGTAGTGTCTATTTCCTGTGTGAAATGATGCTGGGTTGTGGCTGCCTTGCTTGGATGCACCCAAGTTCAACTATTTCCTAGGGGATGGTGTAGGGGCAGAAAGTGACAGGAGCAGAGATAGGATAAAGTACGGGGTAGGGGTAGCAGATATTTGTAGAGGGACTGAAATGCAGGACAACCAGTTAACTTCCTGATGGAAGCTTCTAGGGGAAATTTTGCAATGTGAGAGAAACTGTCTCTTTGTGGACTCAGGACATGTGCCTGACACAAGTCTTGGTCTTTTCAATTGCTTCGTATGCACACAAATGCCGGACAATGAATAAGGAAGCCAACGGAAAAATGGGGCTTTTAAATGGTGGTGTTCACAGAGTGTTGATGATACCAGGGAGTGCCACAAAATGAGGAACTCCATCTCGGAGGAAGTTGAGTCAGTATGCTCCATGGAAGGGAGAATGGTGAAAGTTCATCTCCCACATGTGGAGCCTGTCATGAAGAGGGCCAGGGGACTGAAGAAGGATCAGCGGGAGAGAGCAGACCCTCAGAGAGATGGGTTGATAAAGTGACAGCAGCAATGGGCTCAAACAGCGTGACAATTGTGAGCAGGATGCAGGATCCAGCGGTGCTTTATTATGTTGTGCTTGGTGTTGATCGGTACCTAAACTGATGCTACTGTACGGAAGAACAATAAAAGAGGAATTTTCAAGTTGACATGGAGTCCATATGTGGGGCAAAACTGTTCACCCACTTAGAGTTCAAATTCACTCTGAGATGCTGTAGAAAAAAGGCCTCGCAAACTACTCAAGACAGCCCCCCCCCCCAAAAAAAAGCCAAATCGCCAAACTTTTCAAAACCAAAAACTAACCAAAATCTATTCCAACTCATAGTGACCCTGTAGAGGACTCCTGAGGTTATAATTCTTTTTGGGGTCACATGACTTCATCTTCATTCTACCGAGCAGCCAGTGGGTTTGAACTGCCAACTTTGCAGCTAGCAGTACGACACCTGACCGTGCCTCGGGGCACTGTGCCATGTGTCAGAATTAAATCCATGCCAACTGAGAACTGATAAAACAGATGAACAAGAATCCAAACTTATAAATGTAGAATTCTTATAGGGAAGAGGCATAAAGGAAGATTCCCAGCCAATTTTTGATAAAATAAATAAAGATCCTATTTTTTATATATTTAAATGTCTTTATTTCTGGGATTTAACACTTTTTAAAAGTACACTTATAGAGTGAATAATCTATTTTTTTAAAAATCATTCTTTACACAGAAAGACATTATTTTCTTTCCTCTCTTTGATGTTGGCACTGAAAGATGGTTTCACATTACTACTGGAGGCCTAGAGGAGGTGATCTCTCACACACACACACACACACACACACACACACACACACACACACGCAAATCCCTCTCTGCCCTCCACCCCAACCCACCCCAACAAGCCTGGCCATTAAGTAAAGCAAAGCAAATCCACCTTATCTGAGCATAATTTTGCTCCCATGCGCATGCATTAAGCCATTATTCTGCTCAGCCACCTTCTTTGCTGTAACTGATTCCTACCCGTTTCATATCATTTTAAAAATAGGATCCCTTGGTATGCTCAGTTAACCATGCAAGATAAGGAAAGAATGATACAGACAAAACTCAGTCTGTATCAGAAATATGAAATAAAAACATAATGCATTATATGAAAGCATGTTTCCATAGTGAAATGACCACAGGCATTATATTACTTTTCTCCTATATGTTTTATATCATATTTTGTTATAAATATTTGGCTGCCAATTAAGATAGCTGAGTTTTTTCCTCTTTACTATAGGAATCTCAGACTCACCGAGCACCAAGATTTCAGGCATGGCTTTCCAAATTTGGACCTGCCTGTGCATTCCTGGAATGAAAGAGCTACACGAGTAGGGAACATCAAGAATGGTTGTTCTAGAAATATCTCTTCTGATAGGTTTAGCGAGAGTGAGAAGACTACCCAGTAGTAGGATTTTTTCCCCTAAGGGCCTTTAATCTATTATTTCTCCTTTAACTGAATGGGGATGGGGGAAAGGAAAAAGGAAATCTGACTTTCCTTCAGGAAAACAAACAAAAAGCCCCACAACATATGGTAAAGTTTTAAATGTCATGTTTTATTTAAAGACAAGTGTGAAACTAGATAACACACACACACACACACACACACACACACATTCCTCTAACCCAAACCCACTACTATCTAATTGGTTACTTACCTGACAGTGCTACCATGACTCCCATAGTATTCCATAAACAAACAAACAAATAAACCCAAAACCCACTGATGCCAAGTCTATTCTGACTCAAAGTCACCCCTTGAGTGACTAGAACTTCTTCCTAGGGTTTTCAGTCAATCTTTACATGAGTAGAAAGCTTCATCGTTCTCCCCGAGTGGCCGTGAGTTCAAACTGCTAACCACGAAGTTAGCAACCCAAGGAGTAATCCACTAGGCCACCCTGCTACATGGGAGTACTTAGTCCTCAGCAATAATGTAGGCAGTCCGCAGTAAGATCCATCCCTAAGTGTGTCTTTAAGCTGTAGGTAGGTCTGAATGGCTCCTATTTACCCTCCCTTTAGTGCACGAAAAGACCTTGTGCCTTGACAACAGGGATCCAGACTATGCCTGTGCACTAAGTGGAAGGACTGGTCATGATGAATCTGTTGCAAGTATGGACTGGTCAAAGTGAGGGCAAATTTGGTCATATTAAAGGGAAAGTAAGAGTTGTCCAGAGTAGTACATTCTTAATCTGAGAATTATCTGTAATCGGGTGAGTGTCAAACAGGAAAAAAAAAAAAAAAGAATCTCACAAGTAAATATGGACCCGATTTAAAAAAATCCATTTTTAACCATCTATTACATTTCACTATCTGTAGGAAAAGCTGGTATAGGTCATATTCTATAGAAAGTGGGTAAATAGAAAATTCTCATCTCTTAATAAAGTGAGTATTACATGTTCCCTGAATGAAAATATTTGTAAGAAACTGTATCCATGGATTTATCCCATAGGTGTCTTTGATAGTAAAGTAATGCTATTAAGTAAGCATTGGATTGCCAACTTTAACGTTGGCTATTATAACCAACCAGATGAGGCCAACTACTCCTATGAGATATACTGCTTTGGGAGTGTCGCTATGAGTCAGAATCAAGCAAATAAGAGTGAGTTTGGCTTTTTAAGTTTATAATTTAACCTTTTCGATATCCAATGAGTGTTATAAATGGAGTCATATCAAGATAAATAAAATTATGTACAGCATTTTGATAAATTTTTAATTAAGAAAATTTTGGAAAAGATGTAGAAGTGTATATGCCATTATGTTGCAAGATTTTTTTCTACAATATCATGTTTGAATACTTAAAGCTCCCCCTATTTAACTAAAATAAATCATTCAAATATGTGTTCACTTTATGTTCATGCTCCCATTTCTGCTTGAAGTATTTTGAAACCTTCATTAAATCCACCATAAGGAAATTCTATCTTGTAGTCACAAACACCTTAAGTAAGAATTTCATTTAGCTCTTCAACTCATTTCGTCCTCTAGTAATCCTTAAAGTTAGCACCATTAAAATGGCAAATTCTCAGTTGGAAGGATAATTACTTCATAAAAACAACTACCTTGCTTTACAAGGGTCTCTGTAGTTACCTGCCAGACGACTCTGTCAAAGTTTGAAGCTGCTCTGATTCCCTTTTGCTTACTAAACTAGAGAGAGAAAGAGAGAGAGAGAGAGACCCAGCACAGCGACACACACTTACCTTCCGTTCTCAGAGGGTTTGACACACAGGAGCTAAAACATAGCAGTTGATCACTGTGGTCCGGGTCCCAATGACTGCTGAGTGTTAGCGAAAAAAGATGGGTTAAATGCGACAGAGTCACACTGAGCGAGAGGGTGCCAGAGAAACAAAATTAGGCGCGGCTGGCTGTGCACTGCTTGTATAATAGAATGCCTGAGAACCTGACTGACCTGCTTCTCAGCTGTCAGCTTGAGATATCGCCTCACCAAGTCCTTAAAAAAAGCCCAGCCATTGGGCTTTCAGAGGCTGGTTCTTTAGACTTGGGGGAGGTCTCATTCTCTTCAAAGTGGTGAAACAAAGAACATCCATTTCTTGCTTGAACTGAAACCTTTTGTGCAAAAAAAAACAAACACACAGTTAAATTTTCTTGTCCAATAGCAATTTCTGACAAACCCCAGGTTCTGCACCACTGGACCTGTTGCTGTCTGCCCACAGCGGTTCTCCTAACCCGTAAACATCTTTCTTTTCCTCCGCTGTTGTCCTTTCCTGTTCTTAACACGGAGCCGAGGAAATGCAGTGGGGTTTGTCATGAGGGATAGCTGCAGTGGACTGAAAAGAGTTTTCAAAAAAGTCACACTTAGCCTAGAGTGAGTCAATCATAATGGATTCTTTAAGGAGGCTCTGAAGTGTAAGTTCACTGTAATTACCAGGATGGGGATCGGGTGTCGGGCTAAATCTCAGGAGTGTGGAGTGTAACTGGGGCCTGTCAGAGAATGGCCGAGTGATACCCAGGAGTCCTGGGAGCCTTCTAGATCAGGCCGTTTCACCCTGCGTTCTGTGGGCATTTCCCTCTGCTTAGACTTCGGAGTGGTCAGAGGATCTCCAGTCGGGCTTGATTAAACACTAGAGTGGGATAACCACCTGACACATGGCCCTCACTTCCTTTCATGGCTTGTGAAAGAGAGAAGAGTGAAACTGCTCTTTTTGGGGGGGTGGGGTGGAGGTGAGGGTTTCTGCACATCAATATTTGGCGACTGGTGCCAAGGTCTCAGTAAGCCCGGATTCATCCTTGGTTTCCGTTGTGCAAGGGGATACGTGTCCAACCATTGAGAGAAAAATGAGACCTCAGTTAAGATGCAGAAACTGGTCAGCTTCACTTTGAAAGCAAAGAATCTGCCCAGTCAATCGGTCCCAGGAAAGAGGGCAGTAATTCTAAAGTTAAAACATTGCTGAAATCCAAAGGGTTTCTGAGAATGTGGTTATGAGCTAAACTAACCCCTACAACTTATTCAATCAAAGGTATGAATCGAGGCTAGTTAAAGTTAGTGAACTTTTTAACTAAGGAGCTCAATAGAACTCTATGGGTTATGTTCAAATTAGCCAATTACTGGAAGAAAACTCTAAATTCAAAAATAAGGTATTTTCTATCTGTACTTTGAGAATTGTGCATGAATTGGACAGGGTATATTATACCCTTAGACATTGGTATATGAAATGAGATCATGACCCCTTTCTAACTGGACTGTAGTAATTATGGTTTATACCAGGCAGGGAGATCACAAGGTACTTTTGATACAACACCTCAATTGTTTTCATTTCCAGAACAGTCTAAGTTAATCTCACTTGATCCCTTTTCCTGAAGACAGTGTGGCCCCAGAATCCTTCGTCTCATTGTCTTCCAGACAACCATAACCAACTGATTAGAGCTGACCTCGAGTTGAATCCTATTTGTGCTGCCATGTACACTTCTGGAAATTAAGTTATAACATTTAAATGATTAACATATCGAATGTTTCATTTGTTACTTAGCCCACTTGGTAGTAAGCTTTAGTCAAGACAGCTGACAGGCAAACAATCTTTTGGCAAACAAGCAAGTTTCAATGAATCATACTTTGTAGTCCATACCAAATTCTAGGAAAAACCATTCCCATTCTAGATCTTGCTTCCCCAAAGGAATTCAACAAGGAATAGTTACCTCTCAATTTCATCATTAAAGCCAGCCTGAAATGACTCATTGTACAATGTTTATAATGTCCTTTTGTACTGACCTGCTATGGCTTCTTTCAAATGGTGCCTTTAACTGCTTCACACCCATTAATAACCCTCACAATACATATCGGAAGAAGGAATGTTCAGTGTTGGCCTCAGGTGGTTAAACTATCCACAAGTGCAGTTTCCAGAACCTGATGTCACATTACTGTCATGGTTGGATCTGAAAATACAATCAGAATTTATATTGGTACCATGCTTCCAATAAAATAAAAACATGACCCTGGACCTAAAATGGTATGTTTTTAATAGATCCTATCACTTAAAAGAAGGCCTGGTGTTACCCTGGTTAAACATTCAGCTACCATTTGGAAGTTTAGCAGTTCAAAACCACTAGCAACTTAGCAGGAGAGAAGATAGGAGAGAAGTTTAAAGTGCACAACTTTGAAAACTCATAGGGCCATTATGAACTGGGAGCCACACTATGACAATGAGTTTACAGTGCCACTGCCTAACACTGATGTCATAACCTATATTTAACAGAAGATATTGTTCTAGAATTTCCTTAAGAATCAAATGGAACTTTTAACCTTTGTATAAAGTTATGGTTACATGAAGAAGATCATACGTATTATATCTGTGAGGTTTAAAATGAACTGTACCTGAAATATTTGCTCTTTACCTGTGGCTCTTGAGAGATACTCTAAACTTTAGTGTCTAAAGCCTCAGGATTGAGTAATTGAGAAGCCTTTGTTATTCATAGGCCTCCATCCCACAATTAAGTGTTTATGCTAATCAGGTGAGTCAGATGCAACAGGCCAGGCCAGACAGACCACCTCTTCTATCAGTTAGCTTTAGGGAAGGAGCCAGGGGATCAGGTCTACTTAAAGAGACCCCAATAAAGGCTCTGTGCCTGAACTTCCAAGGGTTTCCTGATGAATGAAAGGCATCCAATGCATGTGGGAAGGTAGTAAGTCCCTTTGGGGGGGACAACAAATTTCTGTGATGGGAACCCTCCAGATTTTGCATCTCTTCATTTGTATTTTTTGGCTATAATGAAACATTAATCCTAAGTATAGTGCTTCATGTGAGTCCTGTGAGTTACAATAATTACTTTAACTATAGTAGTAAGAACCAGCAGGCCAGAGTTGTGGTGCCCTCAGGACCCCTGAGCTGATGGCAGGAAGGTCAGAGGTAATCCCAAAATGTGTTGCCCCTAGTACAGAAAAAAGATCAGTAGTTATTCCAATCTTGTGAGTGGTTGATATTCCAAAAGATTTATGGATAAACTATTTTGTAGTCAACAAATCAGAAGTGAGGATATTATTGGAATTCTCAACTTTGAAAGTCTTGCGTAGACATGGTGGTCTGGAGAACTGTGCTCATTAGCTTGTGAGATCTCTCATCGGGTCATAGCAAAGGAACAAGTGCTTCATGGACAGCTGGTGTTGGGACAGAAAAGACTAGAGGAAAACAGAATTGAAAATAGATTTATACTGATTTTGACTTCCATACAATTTGGTGTCAGAAAAGTGGTATTTGATTTGTCCTCATAATTCCATATGACTTAACAAGTGAAAATGAGAAGGCATGCATCTGGTACCCATCACTAGCATTGAATAGAATCTGAATTCTATTTCTTTTTAACAAAATACTGAAGGAAATTAAATGCTACAAGCCGAAAACAACGACTCATCAATTTCTATTTTATGTATAAAGAATGGCACTATCTTACCCTCAATATTATTATAGTAGTACTTATCAGTCAGATATTACTTTATTGCCCAAAGTGCCCATATCCAAAATGGAAGAGAAAAAGATTAACCCAATTTATATCTTGTAAACTTATAAGCTGCTTTCAATGAAATTGAGCTACAAAAACATTTTCGACATGGCCCTTCACCTTAACTTCATATTAGAAGTAGTCATGTAGCTTTAAACAGATTCAGATGTCCAGGTAAACTCTGGCTGTGAACATTTTGTTGTGTGATTTCAATCCTACACGTATTCCGAAGAGCAGCTAGTGTGTATCTGTGTGTTTGACACAATCCATATGAAAGCAGAAGGAATTGTGCTTGAAATTCCACATTCTCCTACTAGTCCTATTTCCTTGATACCAGCAGATAAAGATGCCTGGGTGGTGAATTATTTAAGGTGGCTCTTCTAGCCATAGTCTCCACCTCTCAGCAAAGAACCTTTTCATGCATGGGTCTGGAAGGAGGTAGGGGAAGATCCTGATAAGATTCCCCTCTGACTAATTGGGAATCGGATTCCCAGGAGACAAGCTTTGGAGTGGACTGCCACTGGGTGCTTCCTTGGGGCCATTGGACTTGCTGGCCCAGGAAGTGGAGCTGAGTGCTTTTGAGCTGAGGCTTGCTGGAGTGGGGTGCCTTTGGCTGCTAAATTCAGGGAGCTGGGTTTGCTGACCACAGAGCCTGAGCTGAATGCCCTCGGGTTGAGGCTTACAGCAGCAGGGTCTGCCCCTTTGGGCACTTATTAGGTGACCTGAAAGAACATTGTATTCTGTCCTGATAAACAACTCTCCTGAACTTTGATTACTGGCATGAAAATGTGTTAACTTCCTTAATGAACCTTTTAATGATTAATTTTGTCTCTGCGCTCTGTGTAGCCATTGCAATGGATATTGGAACCAGGAGAGGTAAAACAGTGAATATTAATTTAGACATTCCAATAGAAATGAAAATAACAAATCCTTTTGCCAATTAGTGTTGTTGCTTTGTTTTAAAAAGAAGAAAGGAAAGAAATATCAAAGCCCTTTTGCCAAATATCTGGTTTAAAAACATTTCCATATGAGTGCAGAGTAGAGACTCAAAGCCCATCGTTGGGCAACTGAACACCCCCTTACTGAAGGGTTGTGGGGAGGAGGTGAGCAAGTCAGGATGCAGGGTAGCAACAATGAAACATATAACTCTCCTCTAGTTCTTAAATGCTTCCTCCTCCCCCCACTATCATGATCCCAATTCTACCTTACAAATCTGACTAGACCAGCACATTGGTACAGATAGCAATTGCAAACACAGGGAATCCCGGATATATGACCCCTTCAGGACCAGTGGTGAGGGTGGCGATGCCTGGAGGGTGGAGGGAATGTGGGATGGAAAGGGGGAACCGATTACAAGAATATATGTATAGCCTCCCCCCTGAGGGATGGACAGCAGAGAAATGGGCGGGGGGAGATGTCGGACAGTGTAACATGACAAAATAATAATAATTTATGAATTATGAAGGGTTCATGAGGGAAGAAGGAGCGGGGAGGGAGAGGGAAAAATTGAGCCCATAGTAAGGGCTCAAGTAGAA